GTGTGTGTATAGGGAATGCATAGGCCACATATATAGGGAACATATAGGGCACATATAGGGTGTGTATGTAGGGAACATATAGAGCACATATAGGGTGTGTATGTAGGGAACATATAGGGCATGTATAGGGCACCTATAGCGCACGTATGTAGGGAACATATAGAGCACATATAGGGCACCTATAGGGCACGTATGTAGGGAACATATAGAGCACATATAGGGCATGTATAGGGCACCTATAGGGCACATATATAGGGAACATATAGAGCACATATAGGGCATGTATAGGGCACATATCTAGGGAACATATAGAGCACATATAGGGCACGTATAGGGCACATATATAGGGAGCATATAGAGCACATATAGGGCACGTATAGGGCACATATATAGGGAACATATAGCGCACATATAGGGCATGTACAGGGCATGTATAGAGAACATATAGGGCACATATGTAGGGAACATATAGCGCATGTATAGGGCACATATATAGGGAACATATACAGCATGTATAGGGCACATATATAGGGAACATATAGGGCATGTATACAGGGCACATATATAGGGAACATATATAGGGCATGTATAGGGCACATATATAGGTAACTTATAAGGAACATATAGGGCATGTATACAGGGCATATACAGGTAACGTATAGGGAACATATAGGGCATTTATATAGAGCATATGTAGGTAATGTATATGGACCATATAGGGCATATACAGGTGACGTATAGGGAACATATAGGACATGTATAGAGAGCATGTATATAGGGCATATACAGGTGACGTATAGGGAACATATAGGACATGTATAGAGAGCATATATAGGTAATGTATAGGGAACATATAGGGGATGTATCTAGGGAATATATAAGGCATGTATATAGGGTATATATACAGAACATATAAGACATGTATATAGAGCATATATAGCTAACATATAGGGAACATATAGGACATATATATAGGGAACATATACAAGCACATATAGGATGTGTATATAGGGAACATATAGGGCATGTATATAGGGAATGTATAGTGCATATATGGGGCACATAGAGAGGGAACATAAGGCCTATATAGGGAACATACAGGGCATATAAAGGGAATATACATGGCACATATAGAGGGAACATATAAGGCACGTATAGGACACGTATATAGGGAACATAAAGGGCATCTATATGGGGCACATATAGGGCATGTATATAGGGCACTTATAAGGCACACATAGGGAGCCAATGGGGCACATATAGGGCACTTATAGGGCACATATAGGGAGCCAATGGGGCACATATAGGGCACTTATAGGGCACACATAGGGAGCCAATGGGGCACTTATAGGGCACACATAGGGAGCCAATGGGGCACATATAGGGCACTTATAGGGCACACATAGGGAGCCAATGGGGCACATATAGGGCACAAGGGGGGGGGAGGTGGTTACCGGCATAGCTGGAGGCAGCGCTGGGCCCAGGCAAGGAGCGGCGGGAGGCTGGGGAACAGCACCAAAGGAGTGTTATTTTGGGGGCAAAAAGGGCAGAAACGGCCCATTTTGGGGGTGGGGTTTGGGGTGGAAGAGGCCAAAACGACGAATGAACCACAATGGGTGACTAAAAGCTTCAAAATCCCTCAAAACGAGCCAATTTTTGGGGGGCGGATGGCATCAAAAAGCACCTCAAACGCCCCCGTTTTGAGCCGCTTTCGGAGCGGTTTTGAGGCCAAACCATGAAAATCCTCATTTTTTGGGGGGGGGTTTGACCCCAAACTGCTCCAAAAGACCCCAAACTGCCCCAAAAGACCCCAAATATCCCCATTTTAACACGTTATTAAATGGTTTCTTTTCACCCCCCCCACCACCAAAGCAGGATTTGAGCCCGTTTTGGGGCTGTTTGGCGATGGGATGAAGTGGGAATGTTCCCGGTGCGCCCCCCATCCCTTTCCCTATGGATTCACCGCAGCGCTCCCGGCATTCCCGCTCCGTGGCGAAGTTGTTGGCGTTGCCGTCGCAGCCGCCGTAGGCGAAGGCCTGGCAGGAGCCGCCGGTGTGGTTGAACCAGAAGCGCGGCACCGCGGCGCGGCAGGGACCCACGGCCAGGGGCAGCCAGCAGGGAGCTGGGGGGGGGGATAGGGACACAGTGTTCCGGGTGGGAATGGGGTGGGATGGGGATGGGAATGGGAATGGGACAGGAAGGGGAATGGGATGGGGTTTATGGGGTGTATGGGATATAGGGATAGGATGGAGGTGGGGATGGGGTGGGATGGGGTTTATGGGGTGTATGGGATGGGGATGGGATGGGAATGGGATTGGGAATGGGAAGGGGAATGGGATGGGGATGGAAATGGGATGGGGGTGGGATGGGGTTTATAGGGTGTATGGGATATAGGGATGGGATGGAGGTGGGGATGGGATGGGGTGGGGTTTATGGGATATGAGGATGGGATTGGGAATGGGATGGGGATGGGAATGGGATGGGGATGGAAATGGGGGTGGGATGGGGTTTATATAGTGTATGGGATATAGGGAAGGGATGGGGATGGGAGGGGAATGGGGTTTATGGGGTGGGGAATGGGATCGGGATGGGAATGGGAATGGGATGGGGATGGAAATGGGATGGGGAATGGAATGGGGGTGGGATGGGGTTTATGGGGTGTATGGGATATAGGGATGGGATGGGGATGGGATTTGGATGGGGATGGGGTGGGGATGGGGAATAGGGTGGGGAGGGGAATGGGGTGGGAATGGGACAGGAATGAGAAGGGGAATGGGATTGGGAATGGGATGGGGATGGGATGGGGTTTATGGGGTGTATGGGATATAGGGATGGGATTGGGATGGGATGGGGATGGGATTTGGATGGGGATGGGGTGGGGATGGGGAATAGGGTGGGGAGGGGAATGGGGTGGGAATGGGACAGGAATGAGAAGGGGAATGGAATTGGGAATGGGATGGGGATGGGATGGGGTTTATGGGGTGTATGGGATATAGGGATGGGATTGGGATGGGATGGGGATGGGATGGGGGTTATGGGATGTATGGGGTATAGGGATGGGATGGGGATGGAAATGGGATTGGGAATGGGAGAGGAATGGGAAGGGGAATGGGATGGGAATGGGGTGGGGATGGGAATGGGATGGGAATGGGGTGGGATTTGAATGGGATGGGAGTGGGATGGGGTTTATGGGGTGTATGGGATATAGGGATGGGATGGGGATGAAAATGGGATTGGGAATGGGAGAGGAATGGGAAGGGGAATGGGATGGGATGGGGAATGTGATGGGATGGGGATGGAAATGGGATTGGGAATGGGATGGGGATCATCACCCCCCCACACACACATATTGGTTGGGGATGGTGAGGAGGGACCCAAGGGATGGGATGATGATGGGGTCATAAAGGGAGGAATTGGGATGAGGGAGCCCAGAATGGGAAGAAAGGTGAGAAGGAAGGGAATAATGGGAGGAAAGGCAAAAAGAAAGGGAATAACGGGAGGAAAGGCAAAAAGAAAGGGAATAATGGGAGGAAAGGCAAAAAGAAAGGGAATAATGGGAGGAAAGGCAAAAAAAAAGGGAAGAATGGGAATAAAGCCAAGAATGGACCCAAAAATGGACCCAAGAAGGAGAATAAAGCCACAAATGACAGGAATAATGGGAATACAGCAAGAATTAATGGAATAATTGGAATAAAAGAAAAAAAGGAAGGAAATAATGGGAATAAAGCCGAAAATGAAGGGAATAATGGGAATAAAGGCAAGAATGAAGGGAATAATGGGAATAAAGCCAAGAATGAAGGGAATAATGGGAATAAATTCAAGAATGGACCCAAAAATGGACCAAAGAAGGAGAATAAAGCCAAAAATGAAGGAAATAATGGGAATAAAGGCAAGAATGGACCCCCAAAATGGGAAGAAACTCATTAATAAAGTGAATAATGAAATCAATAATGAGAATGGACCAAATAGTGAGAATAACCCCATTAATAGCACCAATAATGAGAATAAACCAAATAATGGGCCAAATAGTGAGAATAAACCCAATAATAGGCCAAATAATGAGAATAAACCCATTAATAAGCCCAATAATGAGAAAAAACAAAATAATGGGCCAAATAATGAGAATAACTCCACTAATAAGCCAAATAATTGACCCAATAATGAGAATAAACCCAATAATGGGCTAAACAATGAGAGCAAACCCAGTAATAAGCCAAATAACAGATCCAATAATGAGAATAACCCCATTAATAACCCCAATAATGACAACAACCCCATTAATAACCCCAATAACAACCACCCCATTAATAACCCCAATAACAACAACCCCATTAATAACCCTAATAACGACAACAACCCCATTAATAACCCTAATAACAACAACAACCCCATTAATAACCCCAATAACAACAACCCCATTAATAACCCTAATAACGACAACAACCCCATTAATAACCCCATTAACGACAACAACCCCATTAATAACCCCATTAATTACACCAACCCCATTAATAACCCCATTAACGATAACAACCCCATTAATAACCCCATTAATGACACCAACCCCATTAATAACCCCAACCCCATTAATAACCCCATTAATGACACCAACTCCATTAATAACCCCATTAATAACCCCAACCCCATTAATAACCCCATTAATGACACCAACCCCATTAATAACCCCAATAACGACAATAACCCCATTAATAACCCTATTAATGACCCCAATAACGACAACCCCATTAATAACCCCAATAACGACAACAACCCCATTAATAACCCCATTAATAACCCCAACCCCATTAATAACCCCAATAACGACAACAACCCCATTAACAACCCCATTAATGACAACCCCATTAACGACACCAACCCCATTAATAACCCCAATAACGACACCAACCCCATTAATAACCCCAACCCCATTAATAACCCCATT